AAAGGTGTATTTAAATTATCTTGTGGGATTAACTTATTTAGAGATGGTATAATTTAAAATAGGTGATATTTAAGGTAGCATCAGCTAGCAGTTAAGAAAATCACTTTTTCTAAACTCCATACTTTTTGGAAAGAAATCTGGTCTTGTTAGAAAACAAACTTCGATTTTCTCCTCAGTTTAGTTTCGGTTTTACTAGTTTAATAGTTATCTCGATAACAAAAGCAATAGACAGCTTCCTCCATTTCTCATTAAGTTTTGCATGAACATCCTACAGATTAGTTAGGTTTTCGGTTAAGGGCTTACCATACTTTTAGGTCTTTTGCTAGTAAGTTCAAGTTAGAATTAGTGACAGAATTATAGGAATTTTCAAAGATCCTGTATTGACATTTCTTAAGGCTGCAGACACTGCACTATTGGTTTTGTTTTTGTACTGGTTAAAACTATACATTCAAAATTGCTATGTTCCTATTTTCTATAATAGTTTTATCTATTTTAAAATAAACTAGTTGGTAAGAGCCTTACTGGTGTGATATGGTCTCTGTGCTAAGTGTTTTATGTCTGTGAGCTTTCTCCTAACATCTCATTCATTCTGATGATCCTCAGAATTATAGAGATGTGCTTTTAGGTCCACATACATATGTACAGACATATGTACGTACATACATACATACATACACACATACGTACGTACATACATACGAGATTATACATTATTATATTTGTGTATTTATACATACATATTAATTCTGTTTCCTTTTGCCTCAATTTGTGAAATGAATTTGTTTAAGTAGTTGTGTGTTTTATGAGACCCTGTCAGAAACAGGTGGGGAAAAAAGGGAGGCCCTGGGAAGCCTTAAAAGCAACTAGTACAGTAGGGCACAAAGAAAGAGCCAGATGAAACAGTAGGTTGCTATTTAACTGCCAGCTGGTTGCTGCAGGCCCTTCTTTGTTGATAAACAGTAAATCTATCCAAACATGACAGGAGGCTAATAGTAAGGTAGTGAGTTCGGTGACTCCAGATGTAGGACTGAGTTTCAAAAGAGACACCTCTTTTGAAACTGCACTGCGCTGCCTCCATTAGACAGGGGTACAAAAACAAAAACAAAACCACAGGACCAAAAAAACAAAAAACAGAAAACAAAAAACTGGGGGTGGAGGTGAGTGCTTGTAAGCACAGCACTAACCAGCTGAGTCAGGAAGGTATGTGTGGAAGGCCAGCATGGCTTATATAGAAGGCATAAGTAAAACTTTTAAAAAGAGGTAGAGAGGAGGTAGAGACAAACAAGATACATCCAATAAAGAACTGTTACCTGAAATACACAAAAAACTCTTAAAGCTCAACAAAAAGAAAATTATTTCATTTAAAAATGAGTAAAGACCTGTCCAGATAGATAACCAAAGAAACAGCAGATGGCAAATAGGCACATGCAGGGATGCTCCACATCATACACCATCCAGGAGATGCAAAGGAAGACAGCGCAGCACTACACATCTGTTAGAATGGTTAGAATTTGAACCACCAACACTACCAAAGTTCTGTGCTGCTGACAACAGAACTCCTTCACTGCTAGTGGGAATACAGCTTGGCAGTGTCTTACAAAACTACACATAACTTTACCATAAGATCACACAATCACACTCCTTGCGATTTATTTACCAAAAGGAACTGGGAACATGTCTACACAAAGTTGTTTGATCACTTATTCACAATTGCCAAATCTTAAAAACAATCGAGATATATTTTAGTAAGTGATACGGATAAACTAGTACATCCAGCAAAAAAAAAAAAAAAGAAAGAAAGAAAAAGAAAAAAAATCTGTTAAGCCATGGAAAGACAATGGAGGAATCTGAAGTGTCTGTGACTAAATAAAAGAAATCAGTGTGAAAAAACTGCATGCTCAGATTTCAGTGATGTCTTGGGAAAGGTGATACCATAAAGACAGAAAAATAGCACTGTGGGGATGAAGATGGCTCAGCAGTTAAGAGCACTTGTTCTTGCAGAGAACCTGGATTCAGTTCCCTGTGCCTTCATGGTTCACAATCATCCAGAATTCTAGTTCCAGGGAATCTAGCCCTTTCGTATGCCCTTGACAGGTAATAGACACATATGTGGTGCACATACCTACATAGAAGCAGGAAAGACATTTGTATATGTTAAGAAAATCTTAAAAAGACCATTGGTCGCCAGAGATTGGGGGAAGAAAAAGAATGGATAGGTAGATCACAACTATTTCATGTGTACTGTAACAGCAGAGATGAGTTAGGATGTTTCCAAACTCACAGAATGTACAACAGCAAGAGTGAAACTTACAAACTGGCCTTCATGGATAAGGTTATGTAGAGGTTTTCATCATCAGCTATAACAAATCTACCACTCTGGGGGAGATGCAGAAAGTGGCAAATTAACACATGTCGTTAAGGCAGGGGACAAGGAAAGTTCTATATCTTCTTAGTTGTTATGTAAAATTATAAAACTGTACACAAAATTATACCTTCAAAACAAGTGACTTTCCTGTTTGGTTTTATATCAACTTGACACAAGCTTGGAAAGATGGACTTGAAATTGGGAAAATGCCTAAGACTGGTCTGTAGGTGAGTCTGTCAGGCATTTTCTTATTGATTGGTTTGAGATGGCCCAGGCCATTGTGTGAGGTATCACCATGGGTTAAGTGGTCTTGGGTTATATAAGCAAGCAGGCTGAGCAAGCCATGGAAAGAAAGCTAGTAAGCAACACCCCCTTCCATAGCCTCTACTTCAGATCCTGTCCTGATAATTGCAAGCTGAAATAAACCTTTTCCTTTCCAAGTGTCATTTGGTCATGATATCACAGCAGTAGTATGGCTATTCTTGGTTGTCAACTTCACTATATCTGGAATGAACTATAATCGAAAAATGGAGGGTACACCCGTGAGAGATTATCTGCTTAGTGTGTAGTGGATGAATCCACTTCTAGTGTGGACCTTTGAAGTAGGAAGATGCACAACTTTGATCTGCATCTTGAGGCAGAAGACAGGCCATTAATTCAGATTTTGAGGCGGGAAGACATACTTTAATATGGGCCATCCCTTCTGCTGGAAGTCTATGTAAGGACATAGAAGAAGGAAGCTTTTGTATTTGCCTGCTTGCCCTTGCCTCGCTAGCATATCCATTCCTTCAGTGGGCATTGGTGTCTACTTCAGGATTCCAGCAGATACAGAAATCATCTGAGACATCCAGTCCTGTAGACTGAGTGACTACTAGATTCTTGGACTTTCTGTTCACAGCTAGCCACTGTTAGATTAGCTGGACTGCAGACAGATTAGCTGGACTGCAGCCTGTAAGTCATCTCATTCCATAAATTCTGTGACTAGAGAATCCTAATACAGTAAGCTTACCAACAGCCAGAAAAGGCAATAAAATGAATAATACTGGATTTTTAAAAATAAGAAACATTTATGTCTTAGTGTCAGCTTTGCTATAAGACATCTGAATATCTGCTTTCAACAAAACAAGCACAGACCATAAAAGATTTTTATATGCCTTTGAGACAGAAGGTTGACACCTTATTTTTTTGTTTTTCAACAGTTTAAAAACACAATTTGTTCTATCTTCAAGTAAGTACTTTATTATCAAATAATTATATATGAGAACAAGATTTCTATTTCCAAAAAGGTTTCCTTTACATAATATATTGTGAGACACTCAAAAGAATCTAACACTACATCTTATTTAGTTTCTTTTTTGCTACAGGGTGGCTTGTTATGGTCTAAAAACTCTTTCTCCATCATATTAGTGCTACCCATGAAATATGTTAGTTCTTTCCCATATAGTATTTACTAGTGCCAGGTTAAGAGACCTGTTTTATAGTGATATAAAAGCTAGTTACAAAAAAAATATCTTACAGAGGAAGACCCTCCTCCTTAATATAAAGAAAAGTAAATGAATTTATGCAATTACATAAGACAGATGATTCCAGAAATAACAGAATTAATACTTATCAGTAATGCCATATGAGAAGTTAATAACTTGAAAAGTAGAAAATTAAAATTAGCCCTTGGGCCTTTGACAATTCGAGGAGGCCTTTGTGAATTCTAATAATGCTCTAAGTTAGCTACCATTTCTCTGAACTACGAACTAAAGAATATGAATCTCAATCATAGACTTCTATTTTGTTTATTCCTTCACCCAACCTTCTCAGCATACTTTTGACATTGACAGTAAGTAAGCCTTTTATATACAAGGCACTGTGTTAGAGGCTTAAAATATGGGAGTGACAACATTCCTTGTGGAACTATGTATTAGCCAGCTGAATAAAGGAACATTTCTCCAGAGAAGAAAATGTCAGTGCCTCCAAGATAACCTAAGTGACTCAAAGGAAGAAATGCTAACTATAATGACATTTTCATTTTTTAAGTGGTACTTTATTTTTCATGTCTTCATTATACTCTTTCCTTACTTCAGCTTCTCCCAGAACATCCCAACTTTCCTACCTACCCAACTAAGTGTTCTTTCTCTCTCTCTCAACAAACAAACAAAAAAGGACAACCAACCAACTAAAATGACAAAAAATACGAAAACTAAACAACAGAAAAGCATGGAGTCATGGAATCTATTTATGTTAGCCAGCTACTCCTGAGCATGGGGCTTGTGCTGATACAACAGGGCAAATGTACATATGAAATCAGAGACTGACAGCATGAACAAGATCTGTGCAAGCTCACACTAGACCGGTCGGTTCCTGGTTGGAGAAGGGGAAGTGGACACAGAGTCCCACCACTGCTAACCAAGAAGCTGTTTACAACCAATATCTGCTGGGAGAGAGAGAATCTCCACTGGAGTGAGGCTGGGTGCATTTTCATTTTTCAAGTGTGTCATACCCAGGTGAGCACTTAGTGCCTTCTACTGTGAACTTTGAGTTAGGTAGATGGAGAAGACTGATGGCCATCCTTGTGAACAAAAGCAAGAATTTGGCCAGATGTAACTCTATCAACACTGCTAATTACAGAGAAGTTGTTCGTCAATGGCTTTTTAAAAATGCTTTATTTGTTTTTGCAGGGGTGAAGTGTAAAGGCTTAGATACTCCTTTGCATGTTAGGGATCAGTTCTTAAAGGCTCCAACTCTGCTGGCTTTGCTGATGAAATTCTTCAGAAGATCGTGGTCCATTTCTGCAAACCCTGAAGTTTGGGTTACTACAGTCAGATGGTTTATGCAAAATCTGAAGCAGAACTCTTCTAAATCCTAGGAACAACAACAACAGTTTAATGAATTTGTATTCCCTAGGACAAGGCAACAAGGCGAGAGAATTCCTCTCAGAAAAAGGGTTTGATAGCCAATAAGAGGGAATTAACAGCAGAGCAGTAGTTACAGCAACTTTTTAACTCAATTAGTTCATGTTTCTGAAAGTGTAAGTGACAGAAAAGTACAACAGCCAGGGCACAGCATTTAGCCTTCAGAGAGCAGTTTGTAAGCACAGGCATCCTTCAGCGCCTTTCCTAGCAACAGTGTGTGTCTATCACTCACTCATTCATTCATTCCCCTTTCAGCACTCATTAAAAGCACTGTATGTACTCCTGGTGTTTTTAAAGGCTTCTGCCTGTGAAGAGTTTGTAGAAAGCAAAGACACCAAGACAACTGGCAATGCCAGGAAGCCCAGGTCTTTAGCATACTTATTTTTTCTCTGCATGACAACAGGCTCAATGGGTGCACTTTATCACATTACACCTACAATAATTAACCGGAAAGAATCTAAATGGTAGAGTGTGTGCTTGGCACATGTGAGGCTCTGGGTTCAATCTCCAGATATATATTTACGTATACTTCAATGTAAATGTGTATTTAAATTTATATAAAATTGGATCTGAGGAATGAGCTCAAAGCTTCATGTAGACTAGGCTTACTAGGGAAGTATTCTACACCCAGCATAGGGGAGACCCGTTTATGTTCTAATTTTGTGCTTTTGAAGCTATTTGATAAAATACAAAGCTCCCAACAGCTACCAAGAAATTATATATGTACATTGCCCATTATTGTCTTTTCTCTAAATAAATAGAAACTCTAGCAAATGCTGAAGATGAATGAAGACTGAGATTATCAGCAACAGAAAACACTGACAGCCACGCCAACAATCACAGAAACCTACAGGACATTCCTTGTAGAAGAAAACCAGCTACACAAGGAAAATGCAATCCCTCTATCCCACAACAGACTGCGAGGCTGCTGGAGTCCCACATCAGCCCTTGAGGACAAAAATATGCTGTATGGATAGATACCAAATGAAGAGCTACCCAATAGCAGGCATCACAGGAAAGCAGACAAGACAGAGTGGTGCCTCTCAGGCTGAACCCTACACAACAATGGAGGGATGCCTGCCCACATCATTACTGATGCTGTGGGAGTGGGCAGCTGAGCATGTTTGTGTCTTAGAGATTCAGTGTCAGGACAGTTGCTAATTACTGGGAAAGCAAAATGACTCTCAGAAACTACCACTTAGACCATCTTCCTTTACTTTTTGGACTGAGAATTTCCCATAATTGTTATAAGCATGGGATTCAGAAAGAATTCTGAGATTGAAAAGATATTCAATAAATTGACTTATCAGAGAATTCTGTCTCTGTCTAAGACAAGTGCTTTGTTATTTTTCAATAATAATACTCCTCTACTTCAATGCTACTGTTTTATACAACCTCATTTTAACAAGGGCTCTTAGGTCTGTCAGGCAAATAGATGCCAGGATTCCCTGTTCACTCTCCTCACACATGACTCATACTTTGTCTAAGAACTTCCTCTTATTCCTTCTAAGTGAACGTGACTTCCTGCTTTACTTAGAAGAGGCTCCAGAAAGCCCTTCCTCTCTTAGCTCCTTGCCTCCTGATACAAACCTGTGGGCTTGCCTCCTGACTCTCATTAGGCCACACTGCCTTACCTAGTCAAGGACATGCTCTAGCAACTGATTGTTTTTCAATGTATTGTTCCCCTTTTTACACAAACATGCTTTGACTTATCTCAGCCAGCCCTCCAATCAGTGTCCCATTAAATCTGTCAGTAAATCTCCAGGAAAAGCTGTGTCTGGTCCCCTCCCCAACCCCCAGCTCCTCTGCTTCCATTCTCCAGTCAGTCAGGCCTTCCTTCCTGTGGGATGTATTACAACACTGTATTTTCACACTGGCAGATGTGATCATGTACCTCCAGTCAGTAGGGCTTTAATGCATTTAAGGGTTGCTTTCTCCCTAAAACTTAAGTCTCTGCCAGCTTTCAGGGCATCACCTCCTAAACCATGGGGACTGACTTGTATATTTTTAAATATGTGAAGTGTCACTTTTCACTTGACATTAACATTTTTTAAAAAGTACTCATGTGGAATGGCTTGTTCTCCTGCAGCATCCTTTGCTAGTGTCAACTACCAAAATCTTAACTTCTGACACTGACTGCCCAAGGCTATCTGTGTCATGTCACAGCTGGCTTATGGCTCCTAGTACACCTCTCTCTGAACTCCAGACTGCCCTTCTCACTCCTTGCTCGGTGTCTTTCTTAATGTTTCAGAATTCTTGAGACCAGATTCCTAGTGTTTCCCCTAAAATGCTGCTCTTAGCCATCCTACCCAACGTGGTGTTTCTTGCCATCCTCCAACTCACATCTTTTTAGTTACTCAGGCCAAAAACCTCAACATGATCCTTAAACTGTCCTTCCCAATCCTCCCCCCACACATCAACAAATCTAAATGCCTCTACCTTTTAAAGTAGAGTTACAATCCAACCACTTTTCACCATTCCTATAGACAATGACTTGGGTGGGTGTGTCCACCCTTACCACTTGCTTGTGGACATGCATGGCCTCCTCATTGGACACTCCCTCTCACTCCTATTCCATGTGGATACAGTTGAGTGTTTTTTTTTATTTAAATATTGAATGAAAAATGAAACATCAAGTATTTAGAAATATATACAGTCAGGCCTAGTGGCTCAGGCCTATTCTTCAAGACACTTAGGAGCCTGAGGGAAAGAAGATGACAAGTTTGAGGCCTGCTTAGGATACAGAGTGCTCAAGGTTAACCCTGGACTGGTGGGAGCCTGCCTCACAATAAACAGAGAAGGGCTGGGGACACAGCCCCGAGAGCAGTTCTTGTCTGGCAAGTACACAGCCCAATGATTCAATGGCTAGAACCACCAAGAAAAAAAGTTTTTAATAGAGAGTAAAGGAAAGAGGATGAAGCTCTGACCAGGGGTGGGGAATGGAGGGTGGGGCAGCAGCCATGCCCTGTGACAGAGGACAGTCGTGATGTCTGCTCTATGCATCTTTTCCTCCCTCAGACTTAGGATTTCCTACATAAGCATGTTTACAAAAGAGGAAAAAGGCAGTCTCTTTTTGCCACTTAAAAAAAAAAATATCAATGGAGAGGATATCCTTATACCAAAAGGAAACTGACTCCAAGAAGTTACAGCCTGTTTCCTACAGATTCAGCTCTAAAATAAGTTTCCTTTCCTTTATCATAACAATACACAGCCACTGTAGAAAGTTCAGGAAAAAGCAAAGAGCAGGAAATAGAAGCTTCGTCTAATCTCCCTATGCAAGTATATGCACTGTAACGACAGGGTCATCTCCCATCTCCTCCATGTATATTTATTATATTTTTCATTTGTTCCTTGGTCCATTTTCCTCCCAAATTGCCCATATCTTCTTTTCTTTTCTTTCTTTTTTTTTTTTTTTTACTATGAAGAGCTTGCTTTATTGTATGTTGTAAAAACATTTGTCCCAACATGTCATTTACTTGTGAACTTATTTATGCGTGTGTGCTTGTACATGGTGCATGTCACAGTACATATATGGAAGTCAGAGGACATCTTGGAATCAGTTCTCTGTTTCTATCATGTGGGTCCTGGGGACTGAACTCACACTGCTAGGCTTGGCAGCAAGCTCCTTTACCTGCAAGCCATTTCACACTTGGCTGTAATCACTGGAAATCAGGTCTGTCAGTCTTATAGTGTCTTCCTTTGACATTACTGACTCTCATTGTTATACCAATATAGAGTTGAATAATTTTTCTAGTACTTTTGTTTATTTTGGTATGTTCCATTTTCATCTACCTACAACTTACTTAAGGTATGGAGATGACATAAACCTTGTCTTTTGGACTCCTTACCTGAGCATCGTATTTCACAGCAGCAGACAGCAGAGCAATAGCATTCTCCTCACAGATCCCTTGCTTGATAGTTTGCTGACAGAGCTTCTTCAGCCGAGTCTCACTGTAAAATGTGGCCAGATCTAGCAATCCTGATGAAAAGAAGAATTTATTGTGGGTGAGCACCTGATCTCAACCCCAGCGTTCAAAGGGATGTGACCACAGCTCCCATCAGGCACAGTGCAGCGCTGATGCGACTATGGTCACACTGACAGTGCAGCTTCCTAAGAAGGCAGCTGAGCTGAGCTAACAGAGAAAAGCTACTGCAAAACAGGAGTAGTCACATATGAATGGCTTGAATGAGTTTTTCCTAGAAACAAAACAACAGGACTGTGTTTCCCTCTCCTGCACAGAATCTTCTCCAGGGTCACCCCCATCAGCACACATGCTGTCACAGAATTAAAAAGAAAACAGGAGGGATTGGGGTTGAGGGTGTGTCAGTGATGCAGTATATATGCTTAGCAGGCTGAAGCCCCACCTGCAACTCCTGCATCAAATAATAGAAAGAAATCCCCTTTCGTGGGCTGGTCTAGCAAAACTCCTAGAGAGCAGTCTATATTTGCTGTCATTTCTCAACTCCCACTGTATTCTGAAACCACCCCATGCTGAATCCTCCCACACTTACCCTGGCTTCACAGTGCCAAATTCAAAGGCTGATCTAGTTTCTTCTTACTCAACACTCATCCAAAGTTTATGTGGGTGACAAGCTCTGGCTCTGGACACCTTGTCACTTGCTAATGTTTTTCTTCTCTTTAATTAGTGACTTGCATTCTCCCAGCTGGGCTATTTCCCTGCGCATGACCTGGGGTTCAACCTTCCCATACTTATTCATTTATGTCTCCAAGTGAGCTTTAGCCCTTTTGTTTCAAATATCACCTATAGATGCTGTTTCCTTTGATGTTGTCATCTCCTTAAATAAGTCAATGGAGACTGATACAAAAGTGTCACTGGTAAATGAGTTTGACTAAGAATGTGTGTGGCTGGGCTAACCAACTGTGGGCTCCAATACTGTGAGGCCACCATTCTGACCCCCCTGGGAAGCAGTATGTATGCCTGGTCTACAGTCAGACCCAGGTTGTCCCCTGACCAAAAGGTTAACCTGTAATCGGGACCTCAGTCTGGTCTCCTCTCAGCTCCCTGATCCTTGTGATCTGTGCCAAAGGAATTCAGACAAGATACAGTGTGCAATGTAGAAGATGGACAGAATTCACTGTGGAGTGGATCAGAGCATACCCACGGAGTGAGGATGGATAAAGCCCAGAGGGCCACTGTATGGATCTTCAAATGCTTTATGTGATTTCAATTTGATTTTTAAAATGCATACCATATATAACCCTTTCACTTTTTAAATATATTTAGTTGGAGCATGTGCCATGGTGCATATGTGGAGGTCAGAGGACAACCTGTGGGAATCAGTTCAAATCTGGTTTGTCAGGCCTGGCAGCATATGTCTTTACCCGTTGGGTTACTGGCACCTTTATACCATTTTTAACATTTTAAAAACAAATAGCTTTCTCTGAGGGACTTCATTCTGCTATGGGAATTGATAGTTCTGTGTGGATTGTTATAGGAGGGGCAATGGTATGTCACTGCTTTTTCTCCTTTTTTTTTTTTAAGTCATATACTTTTTCTTTTAGATAGTAGTGAATCTTCTAAGGCTTGCTAATTAAGATAGATGTCAGATTTTGCCAGTGTTAAATGAGTTTTGCAGAGAATATGTGTGGGTGGGCCATCTCTTCCCGAGTCCTCGCATGTGTGCCCACATGCACACACATACACCTGCACACACACAAACCCATTCTGCCTTTCTTTCAGATCATGGAGTGTTTAACTGAGCCATCTAGAAATGCCCACTTTCACAACTGCTGTGTAGCACATTTGGCCTTGACTTCTCTGGGCACTGATGAAGTGACCTTCTAGGACTCTGCCTTTACAGACACTGGCATTTCTCCAACCTCTCTGGCATGCTCGCCTGTGATTCTCCAGTGGACACTGGATCTACCTACAAAACCTTCATGTGCAGAAACAACAAGGGAAGTTTGGATTCCAGGCCTGAGAGTGTGAGCAAAGCCAGTGCTCCATCTGAGCCCCAAAGAGAAAAGCTTGGGTTTAACATCAACAGAAGAGCTCCTGCAAGTGCTCATGGTGCCTTTCTTCTGGGTTGGAAAGAAGCCTGCCTTCCTAACTACTCACATTTTGCCAATTCTTGGTAAAGTCTGTGGTGATTACCTACTGCCTCCTCAGGAGATAGGCTGATGTTATCCGTGTATAGGTACTCCAGGAAAGCTCGGAACACAGGGTATGAAAATTCACTCATTTCTATAATATCATCGTCACTGTCTTCTAATGAAGAACGAAAATGCTCACACCTGAAAGAAGAAAGAAAGATCATATCCCAGTTTCTGGGCTGGAGTCAAAGGGCTGCTTGAGGACTTTCTATTGAAGTTGTATGCCTTCCTATATGCTAGTTAGATACTGGCTGTCCCTTGAGGACCATCTGTTCACACCTGGCCCTAGGGTGGTGATCTTGAGAGGCAGTAGGACCTTGAAGTGGGACTTACGTAGGGCCACCTACTGTGAAGTCTTCAATCGTGGGGAAAATGCACCCAAAGGGATTTGTGGAACCCTAGCTCCTTTTGGATCCCTGGCTTGTGGTATTAGCAATGTTGTTCCACCAGGCACTTCCTACCATGATACGATACCTTTCAAGAGGCCCCAAACAATGGTGCAAACCAGTCCTAGACTGAAACCTTCAAGCTTTCAAGCTGAAGTTACAGCTCAGCAGTACCAAGCACTAAGTAAGTAAACACCCTTTGGTCAGTTGATCATCTCAGGCATTTTAGTATATCGACAGAACACTTCAGAAAACATCACCCTTGCCTTGGCTCCTTGTTTTCTTTGCTGGCCTGAAGTCTTCAATTATTTAATCAGCAAGACTACAAATGCAGCCAGGCCACTGTCTCTACAACTAAACTGAGGGAGGCATGGCAGGGACCTCTGGTATCTTTCAGACCATCTTTACAGATCAGCATTACTTTGGTAACTGAATAATGTTCTTTCTTTAAGCCATTCAGTCTGAATTGAATCACCTAAAAGTCTCTGAGTTGATGATCTAACCCCTGGTAACTTACAAAGTGACCTTATTTGGAAACAGGCCTTCTATAGAAGCCATTGAGTTAAGTCAAGTCACTGTGGTAGGCTCAATGCAGTCAGACAAAGGGAGAGACTTAGACACAGGCAGACTCAGAGAACACCACATGGCATGCCTTAAAAAGACGAAAATTGAGCTGGGCATTGGTGGAGCACACCTTTAATCCCAGCACTTGGAAAGCAGAGGCAGGCAGATCTCTGTGAGTTCAGAGACCAGCCTAGTCTACAAGAGCTAGTTCTAGGACAGCCTCCAAAGCCACAGAGAAACCCTGTTCCAAAATAAAGAAAGAAAGAAAGAAAGAAAGAAAGAAAGAAAGAAAGAAAAGAAAAGAAAATTGCCATGACCAGAAGCTCAAGTGGAGGCCTGAGCTCTTGTTCTAGCCTCAGAGGAAAAACACACATGTCTCCTGTGGTAAAGTAAGTTGCTATGGTCTAGGCCACATGTGTACAAATGCTCTGTCACGGGACACTAAGCCCCCACTTCCTTTATGAAAGTATATGCTCATGGTAACAGTGAACTCACGTGGCACTATGGTTACCTTACAAAATGGGGACCTGAGACTGAAACACCACATTGGCTTGTGAGTCACTGAAAGAGGATTTAAATATCTTTTATACAGTGACAACAAAATCCCAAATCATTGTACTAAGAGGGAAAAGCCAGGCAGAAAAGCATAAATGCCATATAATTTCATATATATGCGCTTCTAGAAAATGCTAAGTATCTATGATGACAGAAAAAAATCAGTGGCTGCTCAAGATGGGTCTGTGGGATCTTTGAGGTATGACAGGATTTTTCTGTATCTGAAGATAAAATGGTAGCTTCCCAGACTACATACATGGTTCAAAACTGAGTAGTTATCATTCAGTGCTCAGAAATTACACATAATAAATGTGACCTAAAACATCTTCATGTTGGCATCACTGGTCTGAGAAAGCCTTGCCCCACCACTTTTTTTTTTTTTTTTTTTTTTTAACAGCATCTGAAAGGTAAGCCCAAGGAAGAAAGGTTACCATGGCTGCACTTGGGGATGTATTCCAGCCCAGGCAGTAAAGAAAATCAGAGCACTTGGCCTTATGCCAAGGACAGAAGCCACAGCCGGTGTTGTCTAATGTGGGCTGTCCTTGAATACAGACTCAGTACTCATGGCCCACCCTGCTTTCCATATCTTGTGCCCCCCCCCAACACACTGTGTTTTAAGGGCAAAAAAGCCTTAACAGAACTGCCTCTAAATTACTCAGATGCCTGGCACAGTCCCTTGGACACATGAAACAACCAATAAATAAATTAATTTCAATTCTCAAAAGAGACACACTCTTACTAATTATTTTAAACAGTGTGTGTGTGTGTGTGTGTGTGTGTGTGTGTGTGTGTGTGTGTGTGTGTGTCGCGCTCCATGGGCATGCCACAGAATGCATGTAGAGGTCATAAATGGGAGACAGCTGTCTGTCCACCATATAGGACCCAGAGATGGAACTTAGGACATTAGGCTGAATGTGTGACCAGCACCAGTACCCACAGAGCCATGTGCTGACCCACTCTTACCTAATTTTGAGAAGGACTTTGTGAGCATAAATGTACTTTCCATCAACCAGAAACTTGAGGTCTGCAGTGTCAGGGTTGTCAAATTCCCTCTTCAGTGACTCAGCCACAGTGAGGTGGTCATCAGGTTCTAAGAAAACAACACAGTAGTTCTAGGTTCAGCCACAGACAGTTGGACATGAAGGCAAGGGGACCCTGCTCTCCGAGCACTCAGGAAATGCTGACTCCCCAAACAAATGACCAGCTACACAAGGCTTTCACCTCTGAACACAGATTCACATCTCTGAACATTCATTGTAAATTTGGCAAAAACTAAAAATGTTTCCAACTCTTTGACTAACTGAATAAAAGTTTAGAATATCTGAGTGTTTGGAATGTTTCTAGCTAAAAATAAAAGATGCAGTCTTCAGTTAAAGTAAAAAGCAATCAAACCAAATTACCCTTAATTAGTGTTGGTGTTGGTTCCCAGGAGTTTTAGTTCCCTTCCCAGGGGCCCACAGAAAAGAAGTCATAGACCCTGTACCCAGTCAAGTGTACCCGGCCTCCTCCTAGTTCTCAGGACATGCCCCAAATGGACAAGGATCAGCTTACCCACGGAGAGAAGGCGCCAGGTGACAGCAGGGGTGGCAAAGCAGGCAAACACGTCATCGGTGCAGCAGAAGTGGGTGAGGTGGGGCAGGACCACCGACTGGCCCCGGCACTGGCCCCACATGTACACATGCCCGCCCTGGGTCTTGGCAGCAGATGTGTGGGCAGAGTGACAGGCCGCAATCTCTATGATCCTAAATTCACAAGCAAACACCACAGGGATACAGTAAGCAGGAGGGAGGGAAGCCACCTTTCCTTCCCTGGGTGCACCTGACTCAGACTTTCAGACTAACTAGCTGACCGAAGCAGGTGGGCCCGAGGGACAAAGAGAACAAGACTTGCACAATAAACTCAGTAGCTTGTTTATTTATTTATTCAATGCCAGAGATGAACCCTGGGCCTTCAGCATGCTAACAGGATGTCCTATACTGAATGACCCCTGGCTCCAAGAGTCTTGGTTTCATCTAGTGTGAGAATTCAATGATAAACGGTATATGTTGGGCAGTGTCTACTGCAGCAATCAGTACAGTAAGAAGGCCTCTCTACTGCTGCTGCCGTAAAAGGCCAAAATCAGAACTTCCTTCAGCAACCTTAATAACATCTCTTTTTCACTTCTGTAATTTGGCAATCACTTTCCACAAAATAAAGTGTCCCGTGGGCTGAGCCAAAGGAGGCTGTAAACAGAAGGAATGAAATAAGCAGAAACCAACAGAGACAGTCGGTCAGTTCAGCTGTTTTCTCCATCAGAACCACAGGGAAATGAGTGCCTGGGTGATATCAAGTGACCCTTTCTGCGTAAGGATTAAAACAGGGAACTTCAGTGTCACGCAATTTCAATGGGCCTGTTTGGGAAATTTGGCTGTTATTAATTCTGGTCCTTTAGGTTAGATAAATAGCTTCTTTTTAGGTTCAGGCCTGAAAATTTAGCATAGAGACTCCATTGTGACTTTTAGCCTCGGACAAGGTTTTGTGCAGGACAAAGCCATAGCCTCTGGTCATTAACACTATCACACACAACTTTAAATGAAACGGTCTTGTGTAGAGATGGCACACTGGAGTTGGGAGACCTTGCCTAGTCTCTTCTAACATTTGCATGGTTGTGTCAGGCAGCTGATTTCCATAGCTCGTGTTCTGCAGAACGGCCTTGCACAATGGGAAAATGGTCCAAATGATCTGACTTCCTAGTAAGCATACATTGTTCAACAGAAACGTAAAATAGGAGAAGTCAGCCAATGGATATTTCTCTATAGAAGATCAATTTATTGGCAGTTCCCCCCCCCCCAGACAACAGATCCAAGGGTCTCCATGGCAGCCATTCAGAGCACCCGGTTTGAGTACAACAGCAGCACTGAGCCAGCAGTAGTTTGTATAAAGCCAAATCATTTAGTCTCATAATCATTTTTATTATCTTTTGAAAGAAAACAAACCAAGGCAGGAGAGCAAAGTGCACAGCTTAGACAGGGTGCAGGCTACAAAGCAGCCACTCTGTCTTAGAGGCACTGAGGTACTCAAGAAATGAAACAAGGTCCTCCCAAAGAGCAGGGCCTCAAGAGCAGCTTCCTCCAGGGCTAAGATCATTTTAACAGCTGCTGTGGGAGCTACAGGGGCTGACCATGGGAGCTCGCCATCCACCTGGAGAGAAGCTGCAGACCAGGGAAAGGCAACCTATCAGTTCTGCTGGTTGAGCACAAACCTGCAAATTTGTCAGAGGGACACAGCCTGCAAGGCAGAGAAAAACCTAACGCCAAACACTGGGAGAGGCAGGCATAGCAAGGCAGGAGGGAGGCATGGACAGGAGCATCTAACTGGAACAGACAAGGCAGTCGGGGACCAGTGAGTCATGGAGTTTATGGTGTCTCTTACAACAAAGGCCTGTGAGCTCCGTCACGATCTAATGTGACAGGCGAGTTAGAGAGAGCCCTGTACAGGGAGGTGAGGGAATAAGACAGTGTTCCAAGAGGGACAATGTACATGACAGGCTGTAAGGGAGAAAACACACCCATGGCACGGGACCACCACAGCCAAGCCCCGTCACCAAGGTCTCAAGGTAGCCTGGATGAACACAGGAGGGGGGCGGGGGGTCAGAAGTGGCCCTGGATGTGAGCCCTGAAAACTCCAACCCCATGGTACTGGGGCTGAAGCAACACTGTGGTGGGCTTACACACACAGACAGCTAAGCAGCTAATAAAAGTTTCTTGCTGCTGTTGTTGTTTTGCTTGTTTGTTGTTTTTTAGCACTCCAGCATCTTAAATATCAGTAGTGAAGCCACTGGCGTTCTCTGAGTTAGAGGAGCATCCATTCCACCTTTCCTTTCCGTGAGCATCAGTGAGCTATTCTTACTCTCTCCCTCTTGAGGGCAGGCCTAGGCTGGGTTGGTGTGTGTGTGTGTGTGTATGTAGTTTGATTTTGGTTTGTTGTTTTTTAGGAGAGAAAGGCATTGGTGGTGCATACCTTTAATCCCAGCACTCGGGAGCCAGAGGCAGAGGCAGGCGGATCTCTGTGAGTTCGAGGCCAGCCTGGTCTACAGAGCAAGTTCCATGACAGGCTGCAAAACAATAAAAAAAAAAAAACTGAAAAAAAAAAAAAAAAAAAAAAAAAAAAAAAAAAAATGGGGGTTGGGTAGTAGAGCAGTTTGAATGTAATTAGCCCCCATAAGCTCGTAGGGAATGGTGCTATTAGGAAGTGTGGCTTTGTTGGAGTAGGTGTGGCCTTGTTGGAAGAAGTGTGACACTGTGGGGCTGGGCTTTGAGTTCTTATACATGCTCAAGACATGTCCGTTGTCTCAGACCACTTGCTATTGCCTGGGAGATAAGATGTGGGACACTTGGCTACTTCTCCAGCACCATGTCTGCCTACATATCACCATGTCCCACCGTGATGACAATGGACTGAACCTCTGAAACTAAAAGCAAGGTCTCAATTAAATGTTTCCCTTTATAAGAGTTGCCATGGTCACGGTGTTTCTTCACAGCAATAGAAACCTTAACTAAGACAGGTAGGTAGGTATCTGAGGTACAGGAGGAAGCCCTGGGAGGAGTTGGGGGAGGGAGAAGAATATAATAAAATACATCAAATTCTAAAAAAAATATGAAAAACAAAGAATTCCTGAAGGAATAGAATATACTTCAGTGCTACAGCCACCTGCAAGTTGTACAGATGCCTCAAAAAATAAACAAAAATAAATATTAAAAACCCTGATACCAAGAAACACATTTTGAACCTCAACTTTTCTGGGCTAATGAGCAACAGTGAACAGGGATAAACTGGGCTATTCTCAATTGTCTAGACCCTGACACATTTTACACTTACTTTGTAGCCTAAGTCAATGGGGAAATTACTGTAAGTTCTTAGCATACGTGTTTTTTGTGATTTCAGTGGAATGGCTTACACCACCACATAGCCTAATGGCTGCGAAATACTTGGAAATGAAAAGATAGAGTGTGAGCCAGGCGTTAGTGGCGCACACCTTTAATCCCAGCACTCGGGAGGCAGAGGCAGGCAGATCTCTGTGAGTTAAAGACCAGCCTGGTCTACAAGAGCTAGTTCCAGGACAGCCTCCAAAGCCACACAGAAACCCTGTCTCGAAAAAGAAAAAAAAAAAAAAACAATAAATAAATAAATAAAATTTAAAAAGGCAGAATGTGAGGAAGAATATAAAACAAAATCAGCAATAGTGAACAAAGACAGAGGGATTTACAGAGAACAAAGACAGAGGAATTTACAGTGAACAAAGACAGAGGAATTTACAGTGAGCAAAGACAGAGGGAATCTGTGTTGGTGACAATGGAGAAAAGCAGCCCATAGATAAGACAAACTAAGAATCTGATTCCCTGTCATGGTTCTGTAAAAGCCCAGTGGTCTGCTGAAGACTTCAAGAGGCCAAGGAACTATCTAAAACTCAAGGCATTGCTAATTTTACATTACAAGTTATAATATCCCTTTATGGAATAAACTTAAGAACAAGAACACATGTGCCAAACCTTTTAAAAGCTTTCCCTTTGGTTGTCTGATCAGAGAATCCAATATAGATAGATGTTATTTTTTCTTTCACTATGAGCATGCACCTAACAACCATGGACTCAGCCCTGCCACACCCAAAATTCAGTCCATTCCTAAACAGGCTTTTCTGGAAGGTGTTCCAGTAGAGTCAAAAGGAAGTCATGACCGACATGTGAGGCTCAGCCACTGGGAAGTCATAGCACATTTACCACATGCCAGCAACTGAGGCCTGGCTGACACTATGCAAGCTCAGAAACTGCCACCTGGAGTTCAAGGCTGGGAAACTGAGGCGACCAGGAAGATCCTTCAGAATATCTATCCCTGATCTGTGTGCACAGCAGCAAGGGCAGAAGTGCACAGGAGAACACCAGTGTTTACAGTGTAGAGCAATGGGCGGGCAGCCCAGAGCCCTACTAAGCAACACGCACTCCCATTACTTCCCTTGCTGCTTCTCAGCTTCCTGCTCTCTCCCTCACTTAGTGGCCCACAGTGTGTTCCAGAGTGGACCAGTGGGAAGACGTGATCTCATTCTGGATCAGGGAAAGCGGGCACTCCAAGCCAGTCGCTGATGAGATGCTAAGGTAAGTGTGGGAGCACCCCGAGGGGGAGGATGGGTGAGTCACTTTCCTGTTCATGCTCCTCTGTCTGACCTTCAGCACTGGTGTTCAGCCTGGGTGCTGAGTGTCTCCATTGACTGAAGGGGCAGGCTGAGGCATTTTTTTAGTTACTCGGTTGTGAGTAACTATCCCTTCTGTTTTCATTGACTTCTTTGGATACTTTACAAGACCAGCAAGTGACAGAGTTACAGGCATCTAGGTGCCTGCTCCTGCCTCCACTATTTCTCCTGTTCCCCATTTAAAGAGTCAAAGGTCCATTTTTCAAACTTTTAGCTTAAAAACTTTTTTTTCAAGATCTACATAGGTTATATAAAATTAACCATGTTTACAGTATGTAAATAAAATGACAATTTATTAAGAATCCCAATGGGAAAAAAATATAAAAGAACCTAAATGCTAGTTAATCTATTTATCCATAGGTTCATTTTAAATCAAATAAAAAAAATACTATGTGGAATAAGACTAGGAAGAGCATATGGATTTCTATAGTGACAGCCCCACTGGGTTAAAGGGGAAGTACTGTAATGTGCCACACCACTGAGTCAAGATGACAGGTGGACGTGACTGCCTGAGGAAGCCAGAGGCTTTCAAAATCATTTGGAAATTACACACATAAAACCGAGTTCTCATTTCCTAGCACTTCACCCCTCTACATAGCAAAAGTTTGGAAGGTACAGCAATGAAATCACCCTGCCTTTCTAGCTGGCCGATTGATAAGGAGCTAAGAGACTAGCTTCATGCCCCACTCCAAGCACCATAACTTTCCCAAGCCAAAGAAGACAGATCTCAAACATTACCAACCTCCCTCTGAGGATAAAAACAAGAATCAAGGGAGAGAGCACTTAGAAGACAGATGCACGCAGAAATGCTACTGACAGTTCAGTCTCGTACTTTGCACAGAGCAGCACTGGAGGTACAAATGACAAACAGGTAAGTGAAAACAGGATGCCATCCCCCCAGTAATTCACAAGGCAACTTTTAAAAAGGAATGAACAATCTGGCTAAAAATTAAGTCTAATTAATGCTAGGAATAATTTCCCACAATTCTACACCATGAATTTTAAGTGCTGGTTAATTACTAAAGACCATGGAGGTGATTTGGAAATGTACACATTACCTGTCCTTTTCCACAACGACAGGGGTAGGGTAGGACTGGTTACTTTTATTACCAGTGCCCAACTGGCCATAAGAATTTGCACCCCAAGCATACACTTGACCTTCATCTGTTAATACCAATGTGTGTGCGTAGCCACAGGCAACCTAGAAGGACAACAAAACAAAACAAACGAACTTCTCAGATCGGTAAATAAAGGGAAATGTTTTACTTTTACACGGCAAGTTAGAACTAAAATGAAAACCAAGGAATGGCAGACTGTCCTAAAGGCAAACAGAAAGTTAACCAGTGTTCTGTACTGTCACAGGCCCGGCTGAGTGGCACACTGCCTGTGTCATGTATCACCCCCACTTCTTTAGCTGGCTCAGCCTACTGGAGGGAGCTCTCCAGCAGCACTCACTCTGGCCTGGAACTCAGAGATCCACCTGCCTCTACCTTCTGAGTACTTGGATTAGAGGCGTGCACCACCAGCACCCAGCCTGAAAAGCTCTCAAGATCAAGGCTCAAGAGGCTCTCCCCCACAACTTATTCAGATATAGAAATATGTACTTATGGGGCTGGAGAGATGGCTCCGTGGTTAAAAGCACTGGCTATTCTTCAGAGGACCTGGGTTCAATTCCCAGTATCCACATACCTGTCTATAACTCCAGTTCTAGAGCTTCTGACACCCTCACATAGACATACATGCAGGCAAAACACCAATGATCATAAAATAAAAACTTAAAAAAATTTAAAAAAACAGAAAAAAGAAATATGTACTTAACAAATTTTTAAATGGTAGCATATGTAGCTATCATGTATCTTTTTTTTACCTAATGTTAACTTTTATGTTACTTTCTCCCTATTATTAAAAAAGCTGGACAGTAGTGGTGCCTGCTTTAATCTCAGCACTCCGGAGGCAGAGGCAAGTGGATCTCTGTGAGTTCAAGGCCAGCCTGGTCTATGGAGCTACAGAGCAAGTGCAAGCACAGCCAATGCTGCTACACAGAGAAACCCTGTCTCAAAAAAAAAAAATAAATAAATAAATAAGAAAAAGAAAAAAAAAAGAAAAAAATTCCTGTGTAAACTGGGTGTGGTGGCACATACATGTAATCTCCGTGGTCAGGAGGCTGGCTGTGGCAAGAGGACAAGTATAGCCTGGGCTAACAGTGAGACTGTCGTCTGAAGAACAGCATCGTCATTTTCATAGAGATGGGCATAGTCTTCAGTTGTTCACTTGCCATTAAATTAGTAAATCATACAATGCTTATCATTTTTATTTAGTGTATTTTTTCTTATATTTTTCTTAACCACTTTTTGTTTATCTTCTTGCCAAGGCTTCCTTTGTTAAAATTATAACTAGTAATGCATATTAATTGTACATATTAATGGATTTCACTGTGACTTCCTAATTTTATATGAGACTTTCTCTTTGGTTCCTTAGGAGATTTCTCCAAGAGTAGAATTACTGGTAAAAAGTCATGAAGGATTTTAAAACTGTTGGCACATATGCTCGCAAACATTTTTTCAGGAAAGGGTGTGCAACTAACATTCTCAGTGCAGTTCACAAAGGTAACATAGAAACAGCATCTCTATGAACAGCTACACCTTAATTCAGGGCAAAGGGTGCTTTAATCTTTACTTCAATGGAAACATCAGACCAGCTGAACTGTTCCTGTGTCTAAGAAAACCAGCCCTACTGCACTGCACACAGACCACCAGGAAACATACCCGCTGGACACGAATGCCTTGCAGGGCCGCCACTCTACAGGGGGTTGGCTGATTGCCACTGCTGCCCAGGCCCAGCTGTCCATTCCCATTGTAACCCCAGACATAGACCTGGGGAAAGACAAGAAATGTAGCACTCAGTAGTTCAGTTCTGTTTTGGGGAAGCATGCCATGCTAAGAAGGCAAAGAAAACTTTTTAAACAAATATGAAGTAACTTTTCCTACCTCTCCTGTATCTACAACGGCCATGGAACACATTTGCCCACATGCTATGTTCATAACTACTTTATTCTGCAAACATCCAGTGACTCTTCGAGGAATGGGTTGATTAGCGGTTGATCCAGATCCTACCTGCCCAGAGTTATTATAACCCCAGGCAAATACCTACATGGAAAAAAAAAAAAAGACTGATAAACAAAACACAGGACTCATAAAGTCTCTCAACTGGACACTGACATGTACTTAGAGCATCTCACCGCCCTCTCAAAGAGCTTCACCACTGGTCTCACAACACAGGCAGAGAACATATTGTTTTATAACACCTTGTGTTATCATATAATACAAAACACCTACTTCACCTCAGCCATATTTGTCAACATTTTGGGACTTCCTAGTTTTGCAAATATTACCTTTGTTATAGTAATATAAAAGTAATAATGGGTCTTTTAAAGATTTGTAGTGATTGAAGGCCTTACTACACACAGGGAAATGTCATAATTAACCACCATAATAAATTGCTACCAAGACTAAGGTTGAGTTTGAGGGGTAGTTATTTTAAACATTTCTGCTTAGCTTAGCATAAGTACTCAGGTTAGTTTTTTGAAAATCTGGCACAAGCTACATGTGATTGCTATTCTTGGTTGTCAACTTGACTGCATATGGAATTAATTAAAATCCAAATTGTTGGGCATTTGTGAGTTTTTTTTTTTTTTCTTAATCAAATCATTTCAAGTGGGGGTAACTTCTAATCTGAATCTCTGGGGTGGGAAGATCTACCTTAATCTGGGCCACACCTTCTTTCTGGAAACCTACATAAAGGTCATAGAAGGAAGCTTGCTTTCTTTGCCTGCTTGCTCCCACCTCACTAGCAAGTCTATTCTTTCACTGGCATTAGAGGTTACTTCTTCAGGATTCCAGTGTATCCTGAAGACCATCTGGGACATCCAGCCTTGAGTTGAGGACTGAAAAAGTACTGTATTCTTGAACCTTCTGTTGGTAGGATGCCATTGTTGTACTAGCTAGACCACAACCTGTAAGCCATTCTAATAAATCCCATATATATATATATATATATATTCTGTCTGTATCTATATTGATAGATCCCATCTATCTCTCTATATATCTATATCTATATAATCCCATCTCTATCTTATTCATGCATATATATATATATATACACATATATATACATAATGATTAGATATAGATAGATAGACAGATAGATTCGTTTTTTAAAATTCTGTTCCTCCCTTGGTGCTACCTCAACTTGATGCACCATGCTTTGTGCAAGCCCATGGGAGGCCTGTCCCTTTCTGAATGGAGATGGAGGATGAGTGGATGGGGGGTAGAGGGAAAGGGGAGAGGATAAGAGGAGAGGAGGGAGGGGAAACTGGTTGGCATGTAAAAATAAATGACAAAAATGTTATTAAAATCAATAAATAAATCTTTAAAAAAGTCACTGAGGGAAAAAAGAATAAAGTTGAATAATATGGGTCAAAAAAAATAAATAAATTCTGTTCCTCTAGAGCACCCTGACTAATACACTAGAGTTATCTTGGAAGAGAGACATGCCTCCATCAGATGTCTATAGGCAAGTGTATAGGGCATTTTCTTGATTAATGATTGACGTGGCACCTCTAAGCTGGTGGTCCTGGGAGGTATAAGAAAGCAGGCTAAACAAGCTATGGGGAGCAAGCCAGTAAGTAGAGATCCTCCATGGCCTCTGTCTCAGTTTCTGCCTCCAGATTCCTGTGTTGCGTTCCTTCCTACCTGACTTGCTTGGATGAGGCACTGTAGCCTGTAAACTAAACAAACCCTTTCTTCCCCAAGTTTCTTTTGATCATCATGTTTTATCACAGCAATACAAAGCAAATTAAATTTCAGTGCCTAGTCATATTTGGGGGGCAGTTAAAGGAATCTATAGGACATACTGAAGAGAAAGGTCAGTGAGTTTATGTTGGTTATCCTACCTCTCCATCAGACGTTAGGACCAAAGAATGGTAAGAGCCACAGGCAACCTCAATGACTTGTTTGTTTGACAAGTTAGTAGAGATGTGGCAAGGCACCAAACCATGGTTTGTGGTCCCGTTGCCCAGCTGGCTATAGGCATTGTGACCCCAGGTGAAGACTTCTCCGTCTGAAAACAAAAGAAAGATGAGCAGCCTTGACAACACATACTTCTCTGTAGGAGAGGACAGCACATGCCTCGGCTTCCAGGTGGAAACAGAGACTCGACTTCCCCCTTCCAAATTCACTTTGTGAGAGAATCTATTCAGAAACACAAACTGCTTTCCATGTCAAAGCAATGTGATGGGATTTAAATCTGTGAAGTTAAAAAACAGCTAGAGGATGGTCTCTGAAAAAATAGAGCACTAAAATAAAGCAGAGAAGAGGACATTAAAAGTCAAGTGTACGGTGTTACTTAACTCTTCTGGATCTTCATTTCTCTAGAAAAAGATGGCTAATAATTTTAAAATTTATTATCTTTCTTGTGAAACTATAAAAATTCATAGAGCATATGTGCAATTTCATGGGTATCAAAGTGCATACACACAAAACATAGCCCATTTCCCCAAAAGCCCTATATATATGCACCTTACATAGAAGAGTTTAGTTTTCTGACTCTGCACTTTGAATAAATGAATCACATGTATGCTCCCTGTCAGCTGTGTTTTCTACCACATTACTTAGGTTATATTATGAGTGACTTCATTTGATCGTCTGGTTTGATTCTCTTTAGTGGTATATACAAGTTGCTATAGAACTGCCCAATGAATGTTCATTTGATAATTAATTCAATTGTTCACTGGGTCTTTTCCAAACCTTCTATTATGTCTGTAGATCTTTTTTCTTCTGCAGATATTTTGCTTTCTGTAATTCATGTTTAATAATCACCCTGTCTGCCACTTCTCCTGGGTCTCACGCATTAGACCCTACAGGAGGTGGTTGGTTTGGACTGAGTTCTTGGTGCTACACCCAACCAAGTGGGTGCTCACTTGTGCTCATTTTCCACATCAGCAAGCAAGGCTACATTGTTATCTGATCAGAAAATCCAAGAGGGGAAGAGTGTCAAGAGCCAAGTTCCCAAACAAGACAGCTTCAGCCTGCAAACCCCCGGTTCCCTCTGCTGACATCACTCCTTCTCTCTGAGCACAACCAGCCTCCTGCTCAGCTGATGGTAACAGATGCTTTGTAGGAGAAAAGCATTGCCCAATCCTACAACTGCAAGGAAAGGCTAACTACAGCCTGCAAGCTAAACCTGTAGCTTGTCTTCTGCCACATCCACCGTGCCTTAGCACCCCCCACCCCCCATCTCAGACCATGTGCTGCTCACTGACATTGAAAAGCTGTTTCTGGTGATCCTCCCAGGCTTCCAATGGTGATAACTTGCTCTAAAAGGGATGTGCATTCATTTCTATCCCACCCTTAATACACTTAAAGTCCATACCTCTAATTCAGGCCTGTGGCTTAGACCATTGGGTCTAAGGTGACAGCAACCTATAGCTGCCAACTCTGGGGGATACTTTGCTTCATTCTCTCTTTTTCCTTCTCTGGTATGCTCCAAGCCAAACATTCTCCTGTTCAATCCTTAGCAAGTGGTAAATCCCAGGCTGAGTGTAGGCTTTGCAGTCCCAGCCCGTGGGAACTCTATTATACTTCAGTTACACAGGACCTTGACCTCTTGACCTGTAACCCTTCACTTTAAGAGTACCAACTATAGCTGAGCATCAGCTGGCCAGGTGGATGCCTAGCAGTCTCGTCTACCCTTACTTCATCTCCTTATCTGACTTTGCTTCTTCTTAACTGCTAAGCCATCCAACCAGCCCCAGACTTTAGCTATTTTTTGAATGAAGAAATGTTCTAAATAATCTTTCCTATTACTGGAAAGCCCCACCCAAATTCCCAGAACTTGCACCTCAAAGGATTATTTAATTCTAATGCTGTATAACTCTGAGTTCATGATGTCACCAAGAGAACACTTTCCCTATACTACAAAGGCCAGCTTCTCTCAGTCACTACTCGACGTGAAGAATTACAGAATGATATAGGGATGGAGAGATCAACATTTGATCTCTCAATATACAGGCCAGGAACCTAAGGTCAAAGTGTAGGCTTCCTAAGATCCAAAGCAAGCAGAGTTCTCACATAATAATTACACTCAGTGCATGGGGAATGGAAGGGGCAGGGTGCACTGTCTTTCATCCATTTAGATCCCTGTGTTAAACTACTGTACTCTGCTATTCAAGTACCACCATATTCCATGTTGCCCAATGCATGACCAAGCACAGGGCAGAGCCAGCAATTCTTGCTCAATCAGAGAGTTTGCTCTTAATTTCAGGGCATCCTAATCTTATTTCTTAACAAATAAGCAATGGCCTAAACCTGTTCATTGAGCTTCTATTACCTGTTGTTGCAAGGACGATGTGTGGGCCACTCCCATAGCTGAGGCTGGCTATCTTTTTGCCAGTTAAAGAATTCAGTCTCCGAGGCTCAATGGTGCTCTGAATATCACCTATCCCCAGACAGCCACTGCAGTTTGTGCCAAGTACAAAAATCTGTGGGGACAAAAAAAAAAAAAAAAAAAAAAAAAAAAAAAAAAAAAAAAAAGCACTCAGGGAAGCAAATTTCTGAAAAGTCTGTAAGTTACCTCAGACAACCTTCCTAAAGCAAACTGCCTCATTTAAGAATAAATAAAAAAGGCCTTTTCAGCCCAGTGGTAGTGGTGGTGCACACCTTTAATCCAAGCACTTGGGAGGCAGAGGTAGGTGGATCTCAGGCCAGCCTGGTCTACAAAGCAAGTTCCAGGACAACCAGGACTACACAGAGAAACCCTGTCTCAAAACAAACAAAAATTGCCTTTCCATACTTCTGTTTAAAGGCTTCATTCTGTACTTCCCCCCAAGGTCTTGAATTTACAAACCCATTATTAAAAATATAGGTGGTTGAATGTTTGTTTTCTTCAAAATTACCTCATCATCGACTGTGGTGTATAAAACTTCATTGCCAGCACTGCCAAAGACACAAGCCTGACGAATCGACTGAAGTTCTTCCTCAGAACAAAGGGAAAAGATTGGCCACTTCCCCACATCTAGCATTTTCAATGATGACAGGGTAGCCTGTACTGGCTGAAAGAAACAAGACTTTTGAACTGAGACAACCAATTTAAAGCAAACAAACAAAAGCATTCCTTGACTCTTGCTTCTGCAGAGGAAACTGGCTTGAAGAGCCACATCTGGTGTTGTCTGTTGCAGAGAGCCACTCACAGATGCAGAACGGATCATAGCCCATTCTTGATTACTGCTCCCAGACCAGGTGCCGGGGGCCTGGGCAAAATCAGATCTCAGAGACACCCAACTCATCTAAGTCTGGACCTTGGCCAGCTGAAAGTTAGCAACACATTAAATATTGGCTATGGTTTAAAAGTAGTTGTGGAAACGGCAGGGTTAAGCAAGCCCAGGCTGGAGGAAGGAGGGTGGTCACTGCATCTGCTGTGCCTATGTACGGTTACTCTAGCAAACAGATGTAGGTCCCTCTGTGGGGAGGATGGGAGAAGGACTAACAGTATAACTCATATACATTCTGGCTAACAGTATAATTCCTAGGTTTTCTAGCAAGATTGTCCCTGTGGCCTTCCCTTTACTCAAGGGGTTCTGGGTCTGTAAACTGGCTCAAGTCTGAAAACTGACCAAGATGGGCCACGAATCCCCATCACTATAATCCAAGGTAGCATTTCTTTCCTTTGCTCTAGATTCTTTTGCATGTATAGACTAACAAAAACTAAAATGTATCTATTTCATCCCAGCAGACACCTAATTGACTCGCCAGTCTCAAAGGTCCAATGTGAGGCATGCCATCATAAAAGTCACTTTCCCTCAGCCGCCCACGAGTCAGGCCATTATGGACATCACTTTGCCCATGGTCCCATTATGGTGGTAAGCATGTTCATCTTGCCTTTGGCGATTCTATGCTGCCTCCTGGCCCCTGCTGCTCTGGGGCCCAATTAAGTCCATCCCATTGAATTCATCCAACTGGGGCTGGAGAGAGAGCTCAGTTTTTAAAAGCTAAGCTCACAACTAAAGTTCATCCAATTGAGCAGCAGCATCTTCTACTCTGAGGTCTGGCACAAGGAAAAGGATGACAACAAAGCTCTGCAAATGCGCTATCACCCCCTCCCACCATTTTGCATCTTATAGTAATGGTGAAGGCCATGTCTTCTGGGCCTGCACATGAGGATTAGGTTTTAAGCAAGGAATCCACTCCAGCATTCCAGTTTCCTTGTGCCTTCAAATCCTTTTATCAACACCAAAACAAAGAATATCAGGCTGATTCTCAGTAGATGACTTTTCCCAAATAGTTCAACTATTTTTTTAACTGTGCAAGGTTCACTATTAAACCTGGAATCTCTGTTCAGTGAACTCATATATTGACACTCAGATTGATTCAACTGTATGTTCCTTCTGCCATTATCCCACCCCCTTAAAGTCCATAGCCACACACACACTCTCCAGACTTCTCCTTGAATGAATTAGTAAGCTTATTAGGGTCTCGGGGTGCAGAGCACTCCTCATGGACCACACATTCTGCTTCCCAAACACTCACTGGGAGGCAACAAGGTGTGGACTCAGTAGTCTAATCAGGCCCTGGCAGCACAAAAAGTTCCTGGGGAACCAGTGGTCCCTGGTTCATGATGAAAGCTTGGAAAGGCTGGTTCTACCCTTAAGGAAGGAATCCACAGCATCGACAGGACAAATCAACTTGGTGGGAGAGGGAAAGCCAAGGAGCAAGAAGCAAAATAGCATTTCATCTGGTATGCTAGTTGAAGGTGCCTTCCCACATCCTACCATTAGGATACTTCTAGTGAGACTCCCTACTCAAGTGATTCTCACTGGTGACAAGCTGACATTCAAACCAACCATAACATCAAGAACCATCCAGGCAGCTCATGTGCTCATTGGCACCGGCTAGCTGGCAGAAACAGTCAACTGTACTAACAGTTTTGGAGATTCAAAAGTCAAAAATTAAGGTCTCAGCTAGCTTGTCTTTCCAGAGCTGTCAGGGAAAGTTCTAGTCCAGGCTCTACTTCTTGGCTTGTAGGCTCTCTCTTCCCTCTGTCTGTCTGCACTGCCTGTCTTATATGTGGATCTCTGTGTCCAATATTCCCCTTCTGATAAATGCACAAGTCAGATTGGATTAGGACCAACCTTCATGACTCATCTTAACTAAGCTAATTACTTCTTCAATGATCTAATCTCCATATGAACTGATTGCACTTTAAGGTCTTGGGTCTGGACTTCAGCACATGATCTTGGAGGGTCATGAAAACCACAACAGTACATGATAATTTCATGATCGTGTGCACTCTCCTAGAAGTTTGTATGCGTCATAAAGTGATCTTCAAAGACAGTTGTTATTTATCTGCACACTGGAGACACTTATATATTTAATGAAGGAGCCCCGAACAGCGGGGGCTCCTTCCTGGACCCTGGATTAGGCACAAACCACACCCAACATCTATTTTCACAGAGATCTTTTATTAAGTGGGGAAGAAAAGCTAAGTGGCTGCTTTCTGACTCAGGCAGAAAAACAGCAGCAAATGACCTTGCAGGTGTAATTTTTAAGAAGAGAAAAGGAGGAGGTCTGTGTTAGGATGAGCTGTGGTATGTTTTGGTTGGGCATGTTAATTAGGTGAACCAAAGGGGGCTTCTGATTACTAGACTTTAATATTTTGAAAGCTGGTAGTCAGTCTCAGGAGTAGAGGTGGCCAAATAAGGGAACAGACCTTGGTGTCTAGCTTTAGCAAGGCAGGGAATGGGGGAGAAGGCAAGGCCTGCCAGAGCCATGTTCACCACACTTGAGATGGCCAGAGTCCCTTCATTTAACCTTTGAATTTTAAAATACACATATATTTTATAAATATGTTTATAACAGCCCATATGCCATCAAATGATACTTTTAAGTATTTTCCAGAATAACATCAAACTCATGTTTAATTTAAAAAAGCAAAGATTTTCTGGGCTCTTTCTCACCAGCTGCTAAACAAACCTTATTAAGGAGATGTGAGAGGGCCAGCCACTTGCTTGCCTCCGAACTGAGAAAGTATTTATCCTCTTCAGCTTGGAAGTCAGCTGAGGATGTCTGCATTGCCCTGCAAGCACCCATCCCCATTAGCGTGTTACTCTGGGGCCCTTACAGACTGCTCTAGCACAGTTCTCAAGCAAAGAGCCAAAGGCAGCCTCCTTCACCACCACACCGTTGCTGCTGAGAATGAAGGTGAGCGTACAGTAAGCACTGATTAAATGAAGAAAAAAAAAAAACTGTCTAATGTCTGGCTGCAAGTCCCTCTGTCCAGCTCTCCTATCCATGCCTCCCCAGGCAAGAATGATAGATAGGTCCTACTTTCATATGTGGGACAGCAGTGATGGCTATCACTGATTTTGATGCACTAGTTACTATTTCTTCAGTTACTTTCAATACAAGAGCATTTGCAAGTGGTATGCAAGAAAAACTCAATTTGGAATCTGGCAGTTTTTAAGTCTCATATACACAAGAAGCTGTAATTGTATAGATATATAGAACAGGTCCCTACTTCTATTGTGGGTATTTCAGGAAACTGAAGACTTTACATGGTAGTGTTATATGTAATTAAGTCCATGGTAGTGGAAATCAGAGTTTTCATATAAAAAAAAGAACTCTTTCTAGAGCTACTTTGTTTACTGTCAAAGCAGGACACAGATAACAGAAGTGTGATATGAGATTTTAGTCTAAGCATCTATTGCAAATTACCTACCTCCTCATATGAAGGAATCTTATTTTCTAAGAGGTCTGCTTTATTTTTTTTCCTTCTGTAAATTTTAAGAAGAATAAAGTTTGAAACAGCAGCATAAAGAATCTAAAGGAGATGTTATTAGTGGTCTTCTATAGTTTTTATATATTATCTCTAGTCTTCACAATAATCAGACCATAGATTTTACTACATAATCGCACAAGATAAGCGCCTTCAAGGTGGGTGGGAACAGATAGAGAGGCCCATGAGTCTACACGTCACCTGATTGCTGAGTAAGAAGTTCCCTTAAGAAGGCACAGTGCGGGAGGTCTCGTCTGTGCAGCAAACCCACAGTCCTTAATGGCTGTTAGCTCGGCAAGCACTGCCAAGAATCAATGACTGGTTACATACTACCTCAGCTGTTTCTCAGCATGTTTACGGGTTTTATCCTGCCCTTTGCTACAAAGTCAAGTGGCTTCCTGAATACTGAGAATCGAGTGGTAAATTCCAACCAGTTCCTAAACACCTGTCTACAAGTCATAAGTTTGTGCTTTCTCCTTGGTTAGCTTGTACAGATGTGTATAGTACCCAGCCTGTGATTTCCTGACCACTAGGATTCCAATGAGATTGATGCGATCAGCTGTCCTACATTTGTCAGTGCTGCTGAGCAGGACAATATCAGGTATGGTAGAATGACTGAATTCAAGACACAGATAAGACATCCCCATACCCTCCTAGGAGGTCACAATCTAATGGAAAGTAGCCACAAATAGCCTGTGTACACCACACATATGAATGTATTGCTGTATTGCTTTTAAAGTCTGTCAGATAGCTAGATGCTTGGCTTGGCAACAATCATCACAAGGCCATTTTTCATGTCTGTGAGGGAACTATTACATAGGGAACTGATAGCATACTTCATAAATGCATATACTTTTTGGAAAAATGTTTAGTAGTAGCTTCATGGAATTATAGCACTTTGTACTAGGACATTCAAGAGTTGCACAAAGATTTGCTGCAAAGTACATGTCGGAGCCTTGATCATCTGCCAACCATTTTGTGTGCCAGGAATGTCTTCGCTAGAGTCTCTAACTGCTCTATGCCCACTGTCAGGTGAGGGATTAGCTGACGAGCTGGTGTGCTGGCTAGTTTTTATATCAACTTGACACAATAGGTAGGGTCATCTGTGAAGAGGGAATCTTAATCAAGAAAATGTCTCCATAGGACTGGCCTGTGAGCAAGTCTTATGATTGATGTAGGAGGGCCCAGCCGATTATAGGTGGTCCCACTGCTAGGGACATGGTCCTGGGGCATATAAGAAAACAAACTGGGTTGCCGGGCGGTGGTGGTGCACGGTGAATGCCTTTAGTCCCAGCACTCGGGAGGCAGAGGCAGGTGGATCTACAAGAGCTAGCTAGTTCCAGGACAGCCTCCAAAGCCACAGAGAAACCCTGCCTCAAAACCCTACCTGTAGCTGGCATCTCTTTGCAAAATGCAAGTAATGAGATGCTAATACTCTATCAGGGAAAACCTAACACAAGAAATACACCTGCAATGAATTAGAGACGAAGATACACCCTGATAGTCTGAGTGTGTGGTCTGGAACAGACTTTGTAGCCACTGAGAAATCCTCTGGGTGACCACACTGCACATGACCACAGCAAACTGGCAAGCTGTTACAATTCAGTGAAAATACAGCGTATATAGGAAAATCAAAACGACATATTGGGCATGCCTAGTAAAACAATGTCTAAAAAAAAAATGCACCTTTTGAGGTTTCCTAGCTGTAACATTTTATATGTAAATTAGGTAATTTCACTACTGACTCTGTGAACTCATTTGTTTAATTTATGAAATCTGTTCCCAGGAGGAATTAGGAATTTTTCTATTAACACCTTTTAAGTGTGTGTGTGTGTGTGTGTGTGTGTGTGAGAGAGAGAGAGAGAGAGAGAGAGAGAGAGAGAGAGAGAGGAGACATGAGAGGGAGGGAGACAGAGAGAGTGAGACAGAGAGAGAGAAAAAGAGAGAGAAAGGAAGAGGGGAGAGAGAGAGAAAGAGAGAGAGAGAGAGAGAGAGAGAGAGAGAGAGAGAGAGAGAGAGAGAGAGAGAGAGAGAGAGAGAGAGAGAGAGAGAGAGAGAGAGAGAGAGAGAGAGAGAGAGAGAGAGAGAGAGAGAGAGAGAGAGAGAGAGAGAAAAGCAATAAGGCCATGGAGACTAGAAGAGGGCCTCAGGTTCCCTAAAGCTGGATTTGCAGGTGATTGTGAGTCACATAACAAGGATTTTGGAACCAAGCTCTGGTCCTCAGCAAGACCAGCAAGCACTCTTGATTGTTGAGTCCTTTTTCCAGTTAGTCCTCTACTACTGCTTTCTAAGTCTCTCAGTTCTATTATTAGTTTTTAAGCTACTTTTACAAATTCCTACAAGGGTTCACAAGCGTTCATATCAGCATGTGGTAGAATTTCAAAACTTAGGTTATTCTGTCCACTATGCTGGCTTTATATACTTATGAAATTATTATAATTTATTAAATTTTACCTTTTTTATTTCCTAGAGTAGAAAAAAGACAAAAGAAAGTAATAGTTAATATTAAACTGTTTCATGGAGGTGAGCAGATACTTTGTAAATTTAACATAATGATACAACAACCAACAGACAGGCTGAAAGATATGAAGCCATAGCCACTGGATATAGGATGGGGAACAATATCCACTAAATACAGAATGCGAAACAATATCCCCTGGATACTAGATGGGGAATAATATCCCCTGGATACTGCATGGGAAACAGTATTCACTGGATACTGCATGGGAGACAGTATTCACTGGATACTGCATGGGAACAGTACTCACTGGATACTGCATGGAAAACAGTACTCACTGGATACTGCATGGGAGACAGTATTCACTGGATACTGCATGGACTTAAGCTGATTGACTGTAATGTTCAGATGTGATGGAAAAGAATAAAAGCATGATGAATTGGAAGCACATCTTCTTATGACTATTTTTTTAATGTTTTTCAATATTTGGGAAAAGAATAAACATTATTTAAACAAAACCTTTTACAGGTCACCATCTGTGAGCAGAAGCCTTTGTTCCTTATCAAGTTCAAATACCACCATCCCTGGGAGCCCTTTTCCAAACCCCAGGTGACATCTGTTCCTTGCTGGCCCTGTGAACATACTCTATCCCCCAAACAATTATTTATTCGTCTGTCAGGCCCCACACTGCATCTTCTTCAAGGAAGACTTGTATGATCTCACTGCTTCTCTCACCAGGTGAACAATAAATATGGTTCATGCAACAAAGTATGCATGCTACAAGGCATGCTTTTTTCTAACCTTGCCACTTTCTCCATAGAAACCAGGTAGTTCTTCTTCCATATGGACTCAGTCCTGTGCAGTCCCTGAGGAAAAAGGATGTGGTCAAATCAGGAGCCCATGCCAGAAGGAGAAAATTGCTTTAGTAAGCAGGTGCCTGTATTCCCAGCATTTGGGAGGCTAAGACGCCTAGGCAACAAAGCAAGACCTTGTACCAAACAAACAAAATAACTTTACTTCTAATTAATAGGGAACATAAGTCCCAAAATGGTGAATTGGATGATAGAGGGATTAAGCCTTTAGCACGGGAGTCAACAGCTATAAGTCCTACAAGTACTCAGGAACTCTTAAGGGAATTATCTTCCTGAAATCTGGGAAGGTCATCCTGAAGAAACAGAGGTCTTTCTATCTACAAAGAAATTAGCAAAACTTCCATCTCATAGATGACTTTTCTATTGATGGGGAAAAACAAATTCTAGACCTTGGTCAACTTTTCTGAGACTGGAAAGTTCCAAATCACGGTGAAGACCAGACTTAGGAATTTTCAGCTCCTGAAGACTGTATGATCTGCTAAGCTGGAAAAAAACAAAGGAGAAATAAATTAAAAGGATGAATAAAATGAATGAATGAACAGATGAATTAATGAATGCAGCTTGTTGCCCTGGACTTTAACAACAACAACAAAAAGTCTGAAACAAAAGCCACCAAGTATGTATCAAGATCACTGAATATTCTTTCCTTAGTAATTGACTGCTATCACATCAAAGTGAAAGCAAGAGTTGAGGTGACAGCAGGGACAGCCCTCCCTGCTGAAGACATGAAGAATCTTCACTACGGTTCAACCATCACACACACATACACTAGCTATCCCAAACTAAAGCAGTGTTTACCTACAAAAGCCAATTTAATAAAACTACATTTAATAACATTTAATGTTGTCTAATTTACTAGGTTTGCTCTGTCTACTTAAATGCAATGTATGTTGCAAGCTTTTTATCACAGCGTTTTATTTGGTATTTGCTGCAATAGAACTAGAAAAAGCTAGATTAAAAAAGATGCATGCCTTTAATCCCAGCACTTAGGAGGCCGAGGCCAGAGGACCTCTGTGAGTTCGAGGCCAGCCTGGTCTACAAAGCCAGTTCCAGGACAGCTAAGGCTGTTACACAGTGAAAGTCTGTGTCGAAAAACCAAAAGAAAGAAAGAAAGAAAGAAAGAAAGAAAGAAAGAAAGAAAGAAAGAAAGGAAGAAAGGAAAAGAAAAGAAATCAAACAGGTCAAATGTCACCCATGACGTTTATTAATGTTTTATATAGCATTGATGAAATCTTCCTCAATTTTTCAATTGTAAGTAGGTCTCATAAACAGTAAGACATTTAGAAAAATCTGAATTTAAAATGAGAACAATTTTTAGAAAGTCAGTTTTAAAAGGCATCCTTATATTTAAAAGTTCACTTAGGGACGGGAGATGAAATACAGGGCTAGACTTTTGCCTACCCAAAACCAAAACTAAAAGTGATTACTTCAAGTTTTTCTCTTGTAAATTTCTATGATTTGATCCAGAAGAATATTTTTGCCATATTTACTCAGCATCACCCATCACAGCCCTTCAGCATAGCTACTGAAATCCCAGCATCTTTACAGGCCGCATGACTGCTACTGCTGTGGCCCCTGACCGGCCACATGGGCTAGCCCTTTGTGTTCCACAACGCTTCTCTTTGCAACCTGGAGCACGCACATTTGCTGCCTTGTCCATTTTTCTTGTGTGACTCCTTGTCTCTGCTAATTGGCAAGCTCTTTCAGGGAGGACACGACAGTCCTTTTGCTACTAGAACCACATATTGCTCAGAGTAGAACAGAATGTATATGATGTTCCAAGTACTGGAAAATGGGGCCAGACATCAGGGGCTGGCATGCCCATTTGAGACACTCTCCCACACTCCATTTCTGGGGATCAAATCTCAGATCTTGCCCATGCAGAGCAAGCATCCTACACTGAGCTACAATCCCTACCCTAAGGATTTAGGGGTGCCCCTGCCCTCTTTCAGCATCATCCTCACTGTTAACACTGTTTGCTTATTTAACACTAATAAGAGACATTTGGGCTTAGGGGCATAGCTCAATGAGAGCTCACTGGCTTAGCATGTATGAGGTTCCAGGTTCAACGCCAGCAACACAGAAATAGAAAGGAAGAAGAAACAAGCCAAGACAATGATGAGACAAGAGAAGAAAAGAGGAAAAGAATTCAAAGGTGGGGAGGACGGTAACGGAGAGAAGAAAAAGGAACAAACAGAGATAACTGCCCTCACCACCCATTAGGTCTCCCGTTGCTAAAAGAAAGGAGAACATTCATATGTGCTAAGGTCAGCGATTGGGAATCCTGACTATTTTTAAGTAGGAAAAAAAAATGATTCCTTTCAGTATCTTTCTTTGATCACTGTAAGTATAACAAACTCCTTAAAAATGGTAAATATAGTTCATTCTGTTTATTGAATTGGTCAGGTTAAAACGTAACTATTTGCATGGCATATGGAAATTACATATTCAAAGAGGAAGTATTCATTGGAGCCAATTAGGATTAACTATAATACTAACTTTATACTATTCAGTGTTAATCAAAATTCAAAAGAACTTAGAGACTAACTACTAACATGAAATTATGAAAACACATCCCCTAGTTTTGTTTTTAAAAAATGGTAAACTTGTTTTCCACCATGTCAGTGACACATAAGACAGAGAAAATCAATTTCTCTACTTTCTACAACTTGGGGTAAAGTGTGTGGAGGTTATAGCTACCTCATCCTGTTACCTGCAAGATTCTTGTACTATTTTCATCAGCACTGTAAACCACACGAAAGGTGTGAAAAACACTGGTGTTTAGAGCGCAGGTTGACACCTCATTTAATCTTTGCAGTATCAAGACAGTAATCACAGAAATAAGGCACAGCCACTATGCCTTATTTTGGGATGCCTCAGTAACCTGACCCATAGGAACTGCCAATCAGAGAAGATCTTAGACGGAAATCCAGGGGTGCTTCCAAAGCTGCTGCTCTTGGACCCCCTCAGCAGGAATGTCTAACCCACCACGAACGTGGCCTAAACCAAATTCAAAATTACCAAAAACATTCTGAGATTTGTTTTGCAATTTCTTGGAAATTTTAGTGATTCTCAAGTGTGAACCTTGTAAATGATGACATCATTTCACAAGTCCACAGTTGATTTGCCTGATCCTATTGCAGTGACTATTAAGTTTTCTTGTGCCCATTTCAAATACTTTTACTCTATACACAATGGCTAGGAGCCCTTCCTCCACAAACATCTGTACCTGGTCGCTGGAGAGTTCTGGAGCCCCGAATTTGGTCCTTCTAGATCCTTGTAAAGCTGTCTTCTAGAAAAGAGTTAACGTGACTAAAAATATAAACACAAATAAATTCTATTAAAGAAATTGAAAAAGAGATTATGCTGTTTTCCAAAGTTAACAACCCATTATTTATTAAAGGAAACTGTTTCTTAAATTGTATCAGTTCTCTTATTAAAAAATTAGCAGTAGAGGTACTCAAATATAAAATATTAAAAAATGAAGGTGCAACTTTTGGATACTTTTTATAAGTTTCAAGACAGGATTTTAACAGTGTGAAACAGATGCAAAAGAATGTATTAGAGAAACTTGGCTTTGGTTTGAGACTGGGTCTTCAATGTAGCCCTGACTGACCTGGAATTCACTATGTAGATGGAACTCTAGATCCACCTACCTCTGCCTCCTGTGTACATGTCATCATGCCCGAGCACCAAATAAAGTCTGATTGTGCTCTTCAACAAAAGAGACGTCACATGAAATATAAAAAAGGCAAACTTCACACTTCTCTAAGTACAGGAAGATTTCCTTGGCTTCTTCATTTGTTATTGAGACAGGGCTTTTCTGTATAGCTCAGGCTGGCCTCAAATTCGGAATCCTGAACCAACCTCCCCCACACTATGTTTATAGGCGTATGCATGAGAGAAGATGGTTGTGGCATACAGAACTGACCAATGCCAAGGGACTAAAGGGTCAAGGGTACAGGCTACTACTCATAGCAGTCAGCCATTACACTAAAAGCTGCTCAAGTTCATCATAAACACAGTGAGTCCAGCCCTATCCTCCAGACGCGCAAATATCAACCAGGAACAGTGCCGAGTGATAGTGTAGACAAAGGCATACTTGTATAAGGCTAAAAGGGCCACAAATTAATTCAGTCACTCTGAAGAACAATTCCAGTATTTGGATCACCACAACATCTTTGGGGTTTTTTGACTTTTGTTGTTTTTTTTTTTTTTTTTGATAAATATATGGAGTCTGTTATGGTATGGATTTCAAACATTTCCCCCAAAACTTACGTGCTCAAGGTTTGGTCCCTAGTGCAGTAGTGTTTGGGGGTGGACTTTGGGAGGTGACTGGATTGTGAAGACTCTAACCTTATCAAGAGATTAATTGCTGCACTCTTAGCTTCAGGAGCTACGGGAAGACAATGAAAACCTTTAAGAGGTAGAGCCTAAGAGCAGTGTTGGCACACACCTTTAATCTCAGAGCTCTGGAGGAAGAGGTAGACAGATCTCTGTGAGTTTGAGGCCAGCTTGTTCTACAGAGCAAGTTCTAGGACAGGTTTTTCGAGATAAAGAAACTCTATCTCGGAAAAACGGCCTACGGAGGGCATGCCCTGAAAGGATGTGCATATGTGTGTATTTAACTTTGTGTATGGGTTTCTATATGTGCATGTTTGTCTGTGAATCACATGTGTGCCTGGTATCCACAGAGGCCGGAAGAGAGTGCTGGATCCTAGAGACTGAGTTAAGAGACAGTTGTGAGCAGCCATGTGGATGCTGGGAAGTGAATCCAGGTCCCTTGAAAGAGCAGCCAGTGCTCTTAACCACTGGACCACCTCTCCAGCCCTATGAGTATATCTTATCCTTGGCCCTTTTCTCTCTCCATTTCCAGGCTGCCACAAAGAAAGCAGTTCAGTGCCACCATGTACTCCCACTATGGTGTGCTTCTTGGCCACAGGCCAAAAGCAACAGGCCTGAAACCATGAGCTAAAGTAAATCTTCCTCCATGTGAAGGTTTTACGAAGGCATTTGTCATAGCAACACAAAACTGACTGATATACCACTGGAACAAAATTTCATAAAAAAATTCTTACCCTCCTACATGAGATAGTGAATCTTTACGGCTCTGCTATTCTGCCCTTCACCATCCTATGTCATTTTCCATCATATTTCAATGTAAAAAAAAAAGTTGTTAAAATGACACACACACACACACACACACACACACACACACACACACACTTAAAAAATAAATCTCTAAAAATAATTTTCTAGATTTATCAATGTTAAACAAATTGCCACACCACAATATAACAAAAATGATAAAACAGACCATTTGATAAGGCTTAAGAGCACAGAGAAAACAGCCCTCCTTCTTTGTGTTGCCAATGACAAAAGAATACATGGCTGGGCTTTGATGAGGAAGGACTCCCATAGAAAAGTTTTGATGAAGGTAATGCCAAAGATAAAGGACTCCACGTAACTATAACAATGAATTTTCCAATCACAAGACAGTTCACTTCGAGTCACAGTGCTAGCACACACATAGAATCCCCGTCCTTAGGAAGATCTGGGGTTCAAAGCCAGCCTGTAAGGAGGATAAGGTTAACCAATATTAAAATTGGAGTACTATCATTTTGACTTTGCTTTTACTAGAGAAGAGAATATCATAAAATATTGATAATGATGACTGATACGCCAAGATTTCTTCTGCCATTTTAAAAATAAATTATACTATAGAATGATACTTGCCTGGCAAGGAGAGTCTGAACTAGGACAAAAAAAAATGTTTAATATCAGCTATGCTAGGATAGTACAAGTGTTTGCTACATCTGCTCTAAATTGGCTTCCAGGTGCCCCCATTTTCTGCACAGGAAGGCGGTGTTTCTGGAGGGCGGAATAGAGACTGGTATCTGTATCAGGACAATTCTTCAGTGACTGGTATAGCATAAATTGGCCCCTTGCTAGGAGGTGATAGTGGGGTGCCCTACTGTCCTACTGAATGTCACTTCACTGCCTCTCCCATCTGCTGTAGGCTATATGACTTGGCACACACACATATATACATATACATATACATATGATACATATATATATATATATATATATATATATATATATATATCATATAGATATTATCATAGTAAGCTCTGCAAAATAGTTTCCTCTACATTTCCTCATTTAGTTTAAAGTAACAAAAATAACATTCTGGGATATCATGGTTTGATAAACAAACCAAAACGAGAAAGGAAGGCCTTCTCTCAGTGGAAGCTCCATCCCTATCTCTACTGCCCAAGGCTCACAGCTGGACACTCAGGAGTCAACAGCTGGACACCCAGGAGCCAGCCTTTCAATGTTTGACTAATAATTCAAAGCCAAATAAGTATCAAGTAGGATCATAAGTTGTATGGTATTTTTTTTAATTCCAGCTGTTTTCTTAAACTTGTATGATTTAATAATTTATTTCTAAATTCTCCTTGATTGAGACAGACAACTCCTCATTTAATATATTGTATTTTGAGGGTTTTCTCTACACTATTAGTAATGATGTAGTCGAAGACTGGCAGATAAAAAGATAGTCTTTATAACATGACAAACATCCCTTCCTAACCCTGGCAGAGAACAGGGTCATTCATGTCCCTGTACAAAGCAAAGAATACACTGTATATACAGACTGTTGATGAACTAATCAGCATTAATGAGTAAGCCCACAACTACACGTGGCACATTACTTGAAAGTGACATATAAAGGAGTTAAGATGAATATAGAACACATGTTCATTTGCCTAATTACTGCTTGTTATTTTCAGTGAGTAGAAAATAAATATGTAAAAGAACAAAACACAGTACTATGAAGTCAGAAGATCCAACTCTCAAGTACTGTGGACAGCAAACAGGCTAGTTTACCAGAGGCTTCTAAATGCTGGTAGTTATCTATTAGAAGTGGTCCCAGAAGAAAATAAATAAGGGGGGGGGGTTTCTTCAGAGAAGTCTAAGAGTTGTTTTTAAATTCAATTCCATGATCTCTAAAGCCACACTTGAGCAACATAATATATAAGAAGTTGCTACTGGCAAGTTCTCCTATCTGAGGAACTCATTAGGGAGGCAAAGAAAGGGTTAAGCAAAGTGGTAGGAAGGTATCAGAACATAAGGGAGCTGCAGACAAAGAAAATGCCAATGGGGGTCCCCAAGTATGTTTGCTGAGTAATTAAAAAGTATCATTCATGTCTTTCATTAGTGTCATCTTTGAGTTATTGGTAATATAAGTATATAAAGTAATAAAATGCGGACTCAGTTGTCACTCGCATTGGTTGCAGTTCAGCTCCTCTTGAATGAGATGCTGGTAGTCACAAACAATAATAACAGTAGGACACCTAACCAGCTGCTAGTTGCACTCAGGGTGCTTATAAGCAGGTGGACAGAACTATACCATGAGCAGTGAGAAAGCCAGCAAGCTCACAAAAGAAATAGTGCTGCCTGATGCTTCTGGAAGGCAAACACTGACTGCGTGGTGCATAGGTGAGTTGTTGCTGCAATTGTTTTCAAAAAAGGTTTCCAAATTTGACGGTGAGGTTTGGGGTAAATGAGCCCACAGTAATGCTGACAGTGTTCTTCAGATTACTGAGACTGACAACACTGATGATACTGATAACAAAATGTCATCACCAAGTGGAAAACAGTCAAATAAACTACAAATAACATTTTACCCTGCTACATGTAGGACATGAGCAGACACAGAGAGCCACTTATAAGTCTATTTAGGATTGAATTTCTTATACATCCAATACTTAAGTAGATATTAACAGGTGTGGTAACTATAATGTTGGCTCCACAACATTAATTACTTGCCTCCACTTGTTTCCTCTTGAGAATCCTTTTGTTTACATTTGGCATGATATAGAAAACACTGCAGTTTAGCTCTCATTCACTAGCACTTGGTAGCTCAAGAATGTATTGGTGGGGAGGGTCACACACTGCATATTAACTCAGGTTAGATTAGCAAAGCTGATGATATTAAAAGCACACATTTTGGTGTCAGATTGATGTTTAATAATCTATTATGATGTGAATTTCCTAGAGATCATCATATTGTTAGAATGAGGCAACCATGTGAAAGAGACACGTGTTCCTTCCGGATAAGAAAAGCTACAAGGACCAAGAGGGGCAATTGATCTGCTTAAGGGGGCATTTCCATATGGACCTCCTTGTTTTCAGCCTGAACAGAAGGATTTAATACCTCTCTGCCACCTTGATAATTCTGACACCATCTCCTTTTCCTGGACAATTTTAGTTTGTAATAATGCCAAGTAAACTTTGAAAATTGCAGTATCTTCATTTCAGATCTGTAAAAACTGAAATTAAATATGACAATCTCCTGTGGACAAAAGCAAATTATTAATAGAGTTCCCTACAACTATACCTATAAAGTAATAGTTTCTTAATGCTTGAACATGGAGTGTATGTGACCTACTTTACTTAAATAAAAGACCTCAGAGGAACCACACTTTGCTGAAGCAATTCCTCTCTATCAATGTCTTTCTCTAGGTCCTCTACAGTCAAGAGCCAGTGGTTGCTTAGATCTGTCTGGCTTGTACAAAAGCTCTAATAGAGACCACTGAATACCATGACACAACATCACACTGGCTATCTCCATGACTTAATGTCAGGGACCTTAAGAAACAATTGCAAGATACAATAAACCAGAGTACAGTGGGGCTGTTGCAGGACCCAAACTACATCAATACATACTCTGTGACTATTCAAGTCACTTACAGAAACTGTAACGTGCATACAGCCAGGGCACATCCTCCTTCCTGTGTTTTCTTTTCTTTTCTTTCTTTTTTGAAGCTTTATTTATTCACTATGTATACAGTGTTTTACCTGCAAATAGGAGAGGGCACCAGATCTCATTATAGATGGTTGTGAGCCACCATGTAGTTCCTGGGAACTGAACTTAGGACCTTTGGAAGAGCAGCCAGTGTTCTTTACCACTGAGCCATCTCTTCAGCCCTCCTGTGTATTTTCAATCAGACATAGAAGTAATACCCAATGTAAGTACTTTGCAGATGGTTGCTATCCCTCCAAGCTTGATACCTGTCACCTTAGAACTAGACAGCTGGAGGAGGATGCTAAGAAGTCCTTTCAGGACCGTTTGAACTAGGGAAGTACAGAGTGAAGTCATGCAAGAGAAAAAAAATTCAGAAATTTGATATCTTTTCTTGCTTAGTTAATAATGACCCCCCACCCCCAAAAAAATATATATGTTCAAAAGGTGCTTTCTTAATATTTCCAATTTAAGGTTTGTTAAATCTGTGCTTACAGAATTAAGGATATGGGGGGTTGGCTATATAGTTGTTCTGGGCACATCCACAGTGGTTCTCTGGTTAGTCTCTCCTATGGGAAGGATTCAGGTCTCTTCAATGGCTGTGGTGAGTTAAGTTGAAAAATCTGGATACTTTCAACTCTCACCTATACACTATAAAGGACAGTGACATTTGTCATAGTGGCCCTGCTGCAGGCCTCAGGACAGAGCATGAAAGTAATTTCCTTCTAAAAGGACTTTTCATTCCACCATACATATTACTTTCCCAGCTCACCTGTGTTTAAAAATCACAAGCCACCTCTGCACTCTCAACCCCCATTTCATTTATAGAGCATTTAACAATTTCTGGCAAAATTGTTAAATGTGGGTTGTTCATCATCTTTCACAAGAATGCAGGCACCAAGAGTGATCTTTTGATTCATTGCTAAATCCCAAACACCTAGGATAACATCTATAAAATAAATGGCACAGGAGGAGTCTAAGTATCCCTAGAGAAAGTTAAATTCAATCTAGCTTTCACTTACATAGTTAATACCTTATAGGTAATAATTGTGGGGCAGACACAAGAGAACCATAGATTTGTATAATATCAGATAGCCATCAAGTGCTACCAAGCCAAGGATTGGACAAGAGGCTGGAGAATCAGAGCTGGGGCTATTTTGGATGGGTAAGTTCTCCCTTTGAAGTGATGCCATTGTTTCAAGATGTAAAGTCCACTTCCATGTGACCATGGGACAAATGCACAGGCTCTGGAATGGTGGTCCACTCAGGAAGCCCCCAAACAGCAACAAGGCCTGCAGGGTGGGAGTGTTGTATTTAAGATAAGTGTCATTCTGGTGGCCCTGCTACTTGGTAAAATGTATGGAGCAGCTATCAATGGGAAACAAGGATGTCACATTTCATCCAAAGCATTCTGAATCTCCAAACAGTTACTACAAAGCACAGAAGTAATGGCATTGTTAGACTGTCTCCATCGTAGTTCCTGACCTCTTGAAACTGACTTACCCACATGCCATTGCCAGTAATTTGACAGACTTTACTGAGAAGGCGCAAACACAGAGAAACCCAATATCCGTTAAACAGTCGACTATCACAGGACATACACAAAAAAGCAAGTTCCACAGGACTGTTTGTGAACTCGATCACTTTTATTCGGCTCCGACAGGGATTAAGTCACCAAGTAGCGGTTTAGGCAGGATGGAAGAAATTCTAAAGAGAGCCACTTGTGTCGTTTCCTTCAGCTATCAGGCTTTGGATTCCAAGGAACTGTGACTGGAGCCAAGACAGGATGAGTCAACGACCGGCCGGACCACACCTGGACCAGGCCCTCTTATGCTTATCTCTTGGCCACTATTTCAACCTAAACTTCAAGTCAGGAAATTCCCAACGCGGCCACATTGAGTAAATCTGTTTTTCACTACTGTCTCGTCTAGTGGTCCGATGAGACCGAGCGCAGTTGGGGCAGCCAGGGCAACGGCCGGGTGTGCTAGAAAAAGCGTCTTTCCTTTGTGTCTTTTGTTACAATCCGGGTTAAATCTTTACCTTGTAAAGAACAAAGGCAAAAGCTCTGCTCTAAACCTGTCTTCAACTCAGGCCGAAGTTCCATCTACGCCAAGGAGGGGCACTGGGAAAGTTTTCAGCCTTTTAAACCCCTCCACTTGCGGCCTAAGTAATGCACAACAGGCAAGCTGAAAATCTCAGGGCGGCCCTGGGTGCAGAGCCAGGCAGGCCTTCCCGCCACCCCCTGCACTTAGCCACCGAAGGCCTAACGCGTGAGGCGCCACTGAGTCAGCGAGGCGGTTCCGGGCGGAACGATTTGGAAACAGCACCGCTGGTCCGCGCCGTGTGCAGGGAAGGGATGGAGACCAGGGGACCAGCATCAACCCCCACCCTCCGCCCTCCCCGCAAGCTGGAAGCGGGAATCCTAGAGTCGCGGTTTGGGGTCGACGCCAAAATGGACCCTAGGCCAGGGCTGCGCGCATGCGCAATGCTGCGTGGTCCCTGGGCCCAGGAAGGAACGTGAACCCAGAAC